TCATAGGTGGCATGAGAGGTGAAGCTGTTCTTACCCAAGCCTAGCTAACTTGAGGAACAATTCTGTTCTACTTTTATTCACCCCTCACTTCTGTCTCCCATGACTCCCTTTACTTTTCTCAGGGTTTAATATATGATGATCAAGAGCAAAGATTTATGGGTTAGAGACCTATGTTTAAATTCCAGTTCTGCCAATTTCTAGTTGGGTACCTTGGGGTTAATTATTTACTTTCTGCCATCTTGTTCATTTATGAACTGAGGATAATAATTCCCTTCTCCTGGGGCTCTTATAAGGCTAAAATAAGAAAAACCCAGTTGCTTAGCATGTAGTCAATGTTCACTTAACAGCAGCCACTCACACTGTTGAATTTTTATTGGCTTCATTATACCTTTTATGCTAGGCAGAATACCTGCTCATTTCGCCTGCTCTATTCCCACCACATACCAATTTGCAGTTGTGGAGTTTATTATGCTGTGATTTGTGTACAGTAGCAAGGGGGAATCTCAGGCATAGCAAGAAGATAAAAACTAATTTGAGACACAGCAACCCCCAAATCACTCAGAGGATGTTGCAAGCGTGGCATCCTTCCTGGATCTCTGGTTTTTCCCCTTTTGTTTTGTTCACAGGGTCATTTCTCTCCTGATGACTGTATCAGCTGCTTCCCTGTGACAGACTCATACTTCTGCCAAGAGAAGAGGTGTCTCTCCTGCTTTAGTAATGGGTGCTTTTCCTTCCCTCGTGCTCTTCCCTACTTCACACCACACTGATCTCACTCTGTACTTTACAGCTGGAAGCCTTGGTTATCTGGCTTCACTTGTGGGCTTCTTGGTAAGGACATCTGGGGGTGTCAGTCCCAGCTGCCAGGCAGTGACAACTGTCTGTGACATCATCTTTCCATCTCCCCCCTGTCTCCCTAAAGCTGCATCGACTACTTCTAGTGCAACATCACACGCTTGAAGATAGTCCCTGCTCTGACGGCCTCATGGTCCTGTCTTCTTGAGTCACATAAACATGTGTTTGTGTCTATTGAGCTGGATCCCAAAGAACATAGTTTGGTCAGCTTTTCATTAATTAAGGGGAAAAAATTACAGCACACTCCAGCAACCAGCCACTGTTTAAAGCAGGGATGGGGCTGGCAAGATAGCTCAGAGGAAAAGGTGCCTGCTTTGGCAAGCGCAGGGACCAGGATTCGATCCCTGGTCCCACATGCCATGTTGGCCCTGCAACCAGGGCTCACTGAGCCAGCAATAGAGTCCAAGCATGGTGACACACCCCTATAATCCCAGCACTGGGGAGGCTGAAAACTGGAGGATCACTACAAGTCCAAGTTGCATATTGAGACTCTGTACCAAACACACAAATTAAAATAAATAAATAAATGATATATAAATAAACCAGGGATTTTCAGGCCTTCTTCTGGCAAAAGCAGGACAGGTAGAACTCAAGTCCCTTTCCCCAAACCATTTTATGGTCTGAGGACATCCTCTACGTTCTAGAAAACACGGTGCACCTGCTCAAGGGAAAGGGAAGAAAGACAAATTGGGTTTCTGTTTTGTTTCTGACCGATCTCTTCCCTTTCCCTTAATTCTTGTTTTTACAAATCCGGATTATTCAGAAGTCAATGAGGAACTCACTAGTACAGGAACAGGTAACAAAGCAGAAGAGAGAGGAAGGAATCCAGTTTCTGCCGCTGATGTGGGGGTCAAGGAGCAGAGGGTGGGGCGGAGGCTGAGCGCAACAGGTCCAAGCAGGACGACAAAGGCCAACTGCCAAAGACTGTACCTGCCTGTCTGGACACCCGTTCTTACCTTCGTGCCACATGGATGCAGGGGACAACCCACTCTCCATCTTAGCTGACTGGCCCAGGTGCTTCTTTTAAAGGAAATTATGGGCCACGTTGGGGCCAGGAGCTACAGGCACAGGGCACGGGGTCCACCTGGTAATTCTGTAGCCGGCGAGCCTCTCTCAGCTTATAAATCAGAATCTTTGAGGGAGGTCAGGAGGAATCTTAAACACTACAGAATGTGAAGACCACTGAGAAGGAACACGTAGAGAATCACCAATCTAAGAGAAACTGCCCAGGATTTATTTTGTGCAGCATAATAGCTCCCCCCAAATCCCTGATTGGCAGAAGCCATGACTGTTAGGGAAAAGGGAAGATAAGCATTCGTGCCAGTCAGCTGGCCATAAAATAAAATTGTCCTGGATTATCTAGGCGTAATCACAAAGGTCTTTAAAAGCAGCAGCAGGAGGCAGAAAATGAATGAGAGAAAGCAAAATGGAAATCACCAGAGTGACACGATGTGAGAAGGACTCAGCTCTATGAGGGATTCAGCTTGGACTACAGCCTTCAGAAATGGAGGAAGAATGAGCCGAGGAGGGCCAGAAGCATCTAGAAATGGCAAGAGCCAGACAACAGCTTCTTCCTTGGAGTGCCCAGGGGACCAAAGAGCTGTCCACACCTGCATTTGAGCTCACTGACAACTCTGTCTGACTTGGGAACTAAAACATGGTGAAATAATAAAATCTATGTTGCTTTAAGACATTCAGTTTGTGATAAATTGTTACAGCTGCCAAGAAAACTAACACAAAGTAGTTTAATAAATGACTCTACTCAGTGATATTGATCGGTACGATAGAAAAACACATGTGTGTAGAATAGTTTCTGAAAGGCATAGAACTTGCAAAGACTTTAAATCATAGAAAACAGAGGTTTATTCCATTTTATGGCTATTGTATACTACTGGAATAAACACGGGAATGCAAATATCTCTCCTCACATACTAATCTTGTTTTTTGGATGTGTACCCCATACTGGGAATGCCCAATGATATGGCAGCTCTAGCTTGAATTTTTGAAGGTCCTCTATACTGTTTTCCATGACTGTTTTAATGTACATTCCACCAATAGTAATGGAGTCAGTATAAGTGTCCATTGACTAACAAATGGATGAAGAGGATGTGCTCAATATATACTGTAGAACACTATTATGCCATCAATAGAGATGAAATCCTGTCATTTGAGACAACATGACTGGAAATGGAGGACTTCATGTTAAGTGAAACAAACCAGGCACAGAAGGACTAATACTGTGGAATCTTGTTCATATGAAGATTTAAAAAAGTGATCTCACAGAAGTTGAGGGTAGAGTGGTCACCCAAAGACTCAGAGGGTAGGGAGCAGGAAGTGTAGGGGAAGGCCCACCAGTGGATACTAAGTGATACTGGAAGAAGTTCTGTTGACTAGAAATTTCGGTAATGTTTTGTATATTTCCGAAAAGCTAGCAGAAAAGACTTTAAATGTTTTCACCACAGTCAAATGATAAATATTTGAGGAAATAAATGCTTATCCTAACTTGAACATTACATAATCTTTACCTGTATCACTTGGCACCCCCAATATGTGCAAAGTTTTACCCAATGTACACACTTATCAAAACATCACATGAAATGTGAAAATGTACATTTATGTGTTGACTTTTAATAAATAAATCCATATTTATATTTCTGGATCATTAAGAAACTTCAGAGAGACTTGGGCAAAAGGGTTTTGTGAGTACAAGAGACACTAGATAATGATGTGTGGAAAATAGAAATACACATAATGCCGAAGTCAAGAAACAAAGATGATTTTGAGAATAAGAACTTGCTGGGAATTCATGGAAATCATCAAATTAAGTTTGGACTCAAGTCTATGTCTGATGTCTGAAACAAATATGACGAGGAAAGGAAACAAAGTGAAGAGACCCTCAGCTATTAGAAAGTGGTCATATTTTGTAGGCTAGATTCCTCAAGACCGTAGAGCTGGTTATTTTCTGTCTGCTGCTGAAGGTTCATTCTCCACTTCTAATTGTTGCTCCAGCCCGTGGCAGAAGAGCTCTGGGTCAGACAACACCCCTGTAGCCTGCTAGCTCTCTGGTTTCCAGGCGAGCACCATGTGGGTAGGCACAGGCCACTGGACAACTCTCACATGCGGTGCTGACCTTGCACCATCCTGCCCAGAGGGTCTCCTTAAATTCTGAGCTGAAGTCACGTGACTCCCTTCTCAACAGTAACACTGAGGAAGAAAGAAAAGTTCTTTCTGGGGTCTGCAGGTGATCATCTGACACCCTAAACATACATGGGATGCTTCTGCACTTCCCATCTATACCTCCACCTTCCCACCTCACAGCAGGCTGGTCTGGAATGGACTGGTCATATGGTTGGGAAAGCAAAAATGAAAAGTAAAGAAGATATGGCCAGAAGTACCAATAGAAACAATTTAACTAGAAAATGACCCTGGCATAAGCAATTTCCCCAGTTATTATAAGCAATGCTGCTGTATGTAAATCATATGTAAATATGAATATCACCCACCAACAGGTAGCTTTTTCTTTACTTTCTCTGCCTTTTAAAGCAAATTCACTTTGGAGAATAAAAATAGAAAATCACCCTGCACTGTGTGGAGGATGCAATTTATGCATTGTAACACCTCTATCAATACCCCAATAGCAGCCCAAAACTTAAAGCATTTACTTCATGTACTTGGAAGTGAGCTATTTAAATAGCATTGGCAAAAATACAAAAACAAAGCCACTTGTGTCCACAAGGGCTTAAGAAGACGAGTGACCTCCACAGCCCACAGGCAGAGTGGCGTAGGAGAGCAAGGCAGATGCAGCTCACACGGGTGTTAACTGTTCATTTTGGTCCCATTTCTTTCCTGGGGTAGGCGCCTCCTTGTCCAGCCGAACCCCTGCTATTTTTAGAAAACAACAGAAAGATAGGAAGAAGACCGTGGCAGGAAAAAGGTGGTAGTGCTAATATGCCAAATAAGACTGTGAGATATTTGAAAGCTGGATCCCTCCCAACCTCTACAAACATTTGTTTCCTGACCACAAACAGGAATACTACTCAGGGTTGCCTGTCCTTATTTTTAGGGGAAACGAGAATTTATTTGCATTATTCCCAAACCTGGAGCAAGGAGCCTGAGCAGCTGTCCTGCGGGCCCCCTTGTGGCCCTACCTGCGCTGGGAAGAACCAGAAGAAGAGGTTGCTGTTCCAGGTCTGATTCACGGTGAAGTAGCCAGCGTAGCTTTCCATGTCCAGGCCAGCAAAAGGTCTGACCAAACTCATTTTTTTACCTGGTGGAAAAAAAAGGAAATGAAACCAAGGATTAGAGAAAAAGAGCATGTGCAGGAGTCATTTCAGTCCCAGACTTTTCCCAGGAATCAGATCTGGGAAGAAGCAGTGAAGGAAACTCCCAGGGGCTGGGCATGAAAGATTCTTAGCACAGTAAATTTCTGCCTTGTCTGGCTGATCCAACATAGCCCTATCAACAATTTTGGCTGGAATGAGTGAAAGTTTTAAGTAGTTTTTCTGCATTGAATTCAAAAATATCATATGAACTGCCTAAGAAGTTTTAAAGATGTATAGAAATCACCTATCACATGTGGTATAAGTCACACATTATTCACACTGGGCCACACAAGAAGGGACTGGAGAAAGTCATTCACAGTTGTATGACCCAGGCACTGTGAGCAACTGCATGGATAACAAGGACACACTTGTAGGGGCTCTGTTGCTGGGTGTGAGATTGGGACTGATGGTGCCAGGAGACGGAGTCACAAGAAATTCAGGCTGGGATTTGGGGTTTGGCTTTCACAGCATCCCAGGAGGGAATGACATGACTGTATTTGAGCAAATATAGGTGTTCATACATGAACAAATTAATATAGTTTGTCTATATGAAGAAATATAGATTTTTATAAATGAAAAAAGAAGACATCTCCTGAGACTAAGCCCTACTGTATCTTTTGGAGCAAGATTTAATATCAGACCTAGTCTTATTTTCAGGAAAACAGGGTAGTAGTCAGGCTTCAGGGCGTGTTCCTCTCTCCAGCCTTCTCAATTATATTAGGCAGCAGCTGTATGCAACAGGGAGTGGGAGAAGCAGTGATTTGGAAATGGAAAAGGCACAGAAAGTAGCTAGCAGAGCAGAGGGCAAGAAAGGGGAGCAGAGTCTGGAAGGAACAGCGGAGTCCTTCAGGGAAGACCTCCCGCGCTGGGCAGGAGCCAACAGGCTGTGGTGCATCGCGTGTCGGCATCTATCCCCATCTCGGTCTTCAGCCACATCACCAACTGAATGAAGTCACCTGGAGGGAGAAGGTCTGCATCCCATGGAATCAGTGCTACAGCCTCTGGTTCTGATCTGAGAGCCCGTGGTTAAACTCTCACCACCTCACCATGACTCGGAGGCCACAAGTTCCTCTTTGAAAATGAGTATGCCTTCCCCAAAGGGAACTCAGCCAGAACACGGTTCCTTTAGCTGAGCCCCTGCGGACCCTGGTGCTACCACACCGGCTTTGTGGCTCACGGGGGAGTGGTCAGCCTCCTGGGCTTCAGCTTCCGCCTGCTGGCTCCTGCCCAGCGCTGGAGGTCTTCACTGAAGGACTCCGCTGTTCCTTCCAGACCCTGCTCCACTTTCTTGCCCTCTGCTTTGCTAGCTACTTTCTGTTCCTTTTCCACTTCTAAATCACTGCTTCTCCCACTCCCTGTTGCATACAGCCACTGCCTAATATAACTGAGAAGGCTGGAGAGAGGAACATACCCTGCAGCCTACCACCCTGTTTTCCTGAAAATAAGACTGACTCTGATATTAAATTTTCCTCCAAAATATACAGTAGGGCTTAGTCTCAGGAGATGTCTTCTTTTATCATGTATAAAATCTATTTTTCTTCATATAGACAAACTATATTAATTTGTTCATGTACGAACACCTATATTTGCTCAAATACAGTCATGTCATCTCCTTCTGGGACACTGTCAAAGCCAAACCCCAAATCTCAGCCTGAATTTCTTCTGACTCCATTTCATGGAACCATCAGTCCCATAGTGGGAACAAAAGAAGGGTCTCAGTGTGTAAAGTAGGCAGCTGCCTTAGGGTCCTGCCAGGCTGGCGTAAGAGAAGAGCACTGCTTCCTAGTTGGGTAGACCTGGGTTTGTAATCCCACTCAGGTCCCCAGTGAGTCTCTTTACCTCTGAACCTCTCTTTCCTTTTAGACCAAATCAGGATACTGGTTCCCTCACTATGGGTGCCTGGTGAGGATCAAATGAAGAAGAGGCTGAGGAATGTGCTTAGCAAGGACCTGGACATACATGGAGATCTAATCAGTGAGAAGCATAGCTATCACTAGCCCCTGGGCCAGCCCAAGTGAAGTCTAGAAGTCTGGACGATTTGCCCTCATGGGTCGGCCCAATTCGCTCAGAGAAAGAGGATTAATCCAAACTCTGTAGCTCCTCCCGTTCTCCCCCTGGTGAGAGCTGTCCTTCCTATGATGGTCTGAAGATTTCCATGAAAACACATGCTGAAATTTAATCCCCACTGTGAGTTAGCAAGAGTAGAAACTTAATCCCATCATGGGAAGGCCTTGGGGAAGCAATTTAAGTTAACTGAGGCCACAGAGGCAGAGCCCTAATGTAAGGGAGCTGTGGCTCTCTAAGAGGGGGAGAAGCTGAGCTGGGGTGTCTTGTCCCTTCAGGTGGTGGCACACACTACACCAGGACACCAGAGTCCCCACTAGCAAGCAGGACCTCAGCAGTCAGCTGTCTGATCTTGACATTCCTAACACCTTTATTCTTTGTAAATTACTCAGTCTGAGCTACTCAGTTATGGCAAGAGCAAATGTACTAAGACATCTTCCTGCCAGAAAAAGGCAATAAAAAAGAAAGAGGACTTGAAAACAAACAAAAGAGAGTTATTACAGAATGTGGTTTTTCATGGCTCCTGTTAACACTTCTCTGCACTTTCTCTCTGGCTGTCATTTCTTCTTGTCCCTCCTTTATTCCTAGTCTTGATTAGGGCAAAGAAAGATCACCCCCTGGAGTCAGACAACCTTTACAATGCTTAGGACATATCTTAATCAAAACCATTACTCCCCTGAAAATCAAACAGATTCCCCCACCCATCTATCCCCAACAAAGAGGACAAAAAAGGAAAAACTGACAATTGGAAATGTGTGAGATGTGGACTGGGCAGAGAGAGGTAAACAGGAGCAGATGCGAGAAAGAAGACAGAGAAAAATGAGAGAGGTCAAAGTATAATAAGAAAAAGAGAAAATATATAATAGAAAGGCACTGGAGGGAATGGAATATGAGCAAAAGATGATTGAATCAATCTGTCTCCCAGACCTGCACAGCACAGGGGCCACGGGCTTGCTCTCTGACCAATTCAGATGTGGTTCAGCCCTCTCTGGGCTGGCTAAGTGACTTCGCTGCTGCTCGGTACTCAGGTGCATCTCTTCCTTCCCCCGCCCCCCACCAGGAGCTGTTGGAAAGCAAGGAATTGGTCTTATTTATCTTCTACCCCTGGGGTTGTAGCATGCTCATTCACACTAAAGACATTCAATGAATGCTTTTTTAATGAATGAATATTAATGAATCAGTGGGTGAATAAGAAACTAATGAATGAACTACAACAGACACAGTGACCCGGCTCTAGGATTAGCTTATGTTTATAAAAACCTGCTGAAGAAGACAGGCCTTGTGGATCTCTTAAGACTTTAGAAAACCTTTTCAATGGTGACAGTAGTCCATCAAAAGCATTCTGCCCGGTTTCATATTTTAAATTTCCATTCGCCAAGCCGCAGTACAATAATTAAAGGTTCTCTCAACTAGTACAACTTTTTGGTGCATTTTTTAATGTCCTAGTCATGTTTTCAGAGTCTATTAACGGAATGGGGAAACAAACTGCCGTGATGCAGGAATTTTTGTTCTTCTGGCCCCATGACTCACCCTACAAAGGTTCAAAAACAGTTAAGAAAAGAAAAAGGTTTTCTTTGAAGTAGCTTCACTTCCTCCTTGTTACTCAGGGCTGTTACCAGTATGTACGCTCTTAACACTTTCAAAAAGATTGGAGTGTGAACAAAGCGTTCACAACAGTTGAGTCATCCGGGGTATAGACAGACACTGCCAGTGCTAAGTAATAATAAATTAGGACCTAGTAGCAAAATATTCCTTAAAATGGGTGAAAACGCACTGCTTATAAATGTGCCAAAATTGCTTCTTACATTCATTTTGTGTCTGAAAGTAATGCTTTATTCTAAGCTGTAGAGAAAGTAAACATACAATTACAATTACATAAAATCAAGCCAGCTAATTGGAAATTTAAAAAACAATCCCTTGTTTTTTTGTGAGCTACTGTTTATCTAAGAAATATTTCATTGTGATATTAAGACGAACTTTCTGAGGGTTTTGACAGCCTCGATAAACAAAAGGGAGGTAGGGGAGTGAGCTGGCCATCTGTCCAGAGCTTCCCGAACTTGCAGCAAAGCGGATGAATAAGATTGTCCTTAATGATGTTGTCAGGAGTGCCTCTGACAGCCCAGAGCTATCAGCTTTTGGATCAGTCACTTAAAATTCCATTCAAAGATTCAAGCTGTGTAGCACGACTTTAGAAAGTGACATTACACAGAGATTTCAGGTCTGAAATATCAGCACAGGTTGGGTGAAGATCTACCAGGCTTGGCCAGAAGGACGAAAGATAAACTACCCCTCCGACCCTCCTCTGCTACTGCTTATACCCTGCATTGTGATTGAGGAATGTGCATGGGTAGAAAAAAGCAGGAAGGGGACAGGGGGGCGACTTCGCAGATGGATTTCTCTACATTCCTTCCACTTGGTTCTTTCAGAAGCATGACACAGGCATCCCTCAGTCACTTTCACTTAATGCCTTTTTATGCTATTGCCCTCATTCAGCAGACAGAAACTGTTCTCTCTCTCTGTCTGTCTCTCTCTGTCTGTCTCTCTCTCTCTCTCTCTCTCTCTCTCTCTCTCTCTCTCTCAGATTCTACCCACACCCACATGTCTGGAGCTAATCATGTAACAGCCAGAGGTCATGATTCCTAGTTTTATATCTCTGGGCAAAGGATTTCATTTCTCTGAACCTCAGTTTGCTCATCTACAAAATGGAAAAAACATTTATACATCTGTTTCAGTTTGCATCCAGATGTCCCTGCAAAGCTTCAGGTGGTCATGGGAGGTGGGCTTCTTGGAGGGGCTGAATCTGGACTCTGTGATAGGTTCAGGTCTAATACTGGGATTGCAGGTGTGAGTGCTGCACCTGAGGGTTTTACCAGATCTGAAGGCAGGTGCCTGTGTGCAGCCTAAGGAAGGAAAAGAGGCTCCTCCTCCTTCTTTGCCTCCTCTGCTCTTGTTGCTTTTGCTGTCTTCCTCAGCTGTGAACTGCTGCCCTCTGCTGCACCCTGCCACCTTGAAGCCAGCAGAGGATGGACTGAAACCTCCACCAACTGTGAGCTAAAGAGGCCTTTCCTCCCTAAATTTTGGGTGTCAAGTATTTTGTCTCAGCAACAAAAGAATAGTAACTAAGACAAGATCTTCCATAGGGTTGCAGTGTGGACCTCTTGAGCTAAAAGACATAAAACATACTACTACCTGGCACATGATAATGACTCAGATTTAAACCATACACATGTTTATTGACTGCTTGTTACATACTGGTATTGTGCTTGGGACCAGGGATACAATTTTGAAATGTTATTATTGATTAATTTTGTTCTGAAAGAGATATGATCAAAATATCCAGTGAATATTTAAACTTCTTAAAATCATTACAGTAAGAGCTGCACTGGTGCCCATTGTCCCCAGGCACTCGGTCTTGTCTGAACGCTGTTGCTCCATCATCCTTACCACTTTCTAGAGTAGCTCTGGAAGTTGTTGTCGGTGAACATCTACAGCTGCAGTGTCACAGCTGCCTTGTTGACCTAGATCAATTTAAAACATTTACCTTCCATGGTCATTTTGACTTTAGGGAATAGGCAGACCCACCAAATAAGGTGGATGAGAGCACACTGTGATATTTTTATTTGACAGAAACTGCCATAAGCATTTTGAATCCATTCGTGACACTAAGGAAGCCAGAAAGGCACAACTAAAGACCCTCACCAAAGAGCACATCCAGAAGCGCTTCAGACTGCAGCAAGAACCGGGAAAGAATGGCGCAGAGCAAGAGAGAGCATGCAGGGCGGACTAGTGGCGATGTGTCCTTTACTCTAATAAATATTTATTTAGCCATGCGTCACGTACTTTTGTTCACACACATCTCATATATTCCCCTGGATTATGTTGGCCAATAGCTTTCTTCTCAAACTTTCCAGCACCCCTAATTCAGCTGCAATACTTTAATCCTTGCACTGCCTTATTCCTTAATTGTTTTATGTGCATATGTCTCAACAATTCAGAAGACCACAAGCTTCTTTAGCATTTAAATACATTATAGCAAGCAAGTCATAGAGCAGGAGTCTGCAGATTGGGCCCTACATGCGTCCCTGCTACCTCATCTCTATTACCCATGCCCCTTTGGGCAAGTCCTGTGAGAGATTTGAGTCTTGATCTCCTCCCCTATAGCATGGTAAAGTCTGGTTATAATGATAATTTTATTCCTTTTCAGCTCTAATGTAAGTGACCTGCTTGAACGATTGTTAATGAACATAAGAAAAGTCAGTGGTATCTACTCCTTAAGGAATCTAAAATAAGTGACCCCGGTCAGGTTTGGGTGAATATGCTTCCCAGCACTCTAGAAGACTGAGGCAGGAGGATCCCAAGTTTGAGCCCAGCCTGAGAAACTTAACAAAACCTGGTCTCAAAATTGAAAACAGTTTTTAAAAAAGAAAGACTGGGGATATATGTCTGTGATAAGGCACTGGTTTTAATTCCCAAGAAAGGAGGGAGAGAAAGAAAGACAGACAGACAGAAAAAGCAATGAAAAAAGAGCTGACCTACAGAATCAGCCAGCCATCTAGTCACAACTTTGTCACATCAAGTAAAAATTAGTTCTTTGTAAAAATGCCCTGAATATACCATCAAACTCTTGTCACCTTTCCTTAGAAAAAACTGGTAAAATCAGGGGCTGACATGTATTTCCAAAAAAAGACAAGTAAGCAGGACTTGAACACACCCTTAAGATACAAGAATGCCTCAATTTGAAAGAAAACAAAAAATGATGACACCCTATTGACTATATGAACTTTTCAATTAGAGAAAATTTGCTCTATTTTAAACCTCACCATAATATTTAAATCTACTTTTGATCTCCGCAAGGAATATTTTTCTAAAATCACCAGTACTGCCCATTCCCATCTGCTCAGGCACAAATTCTGCCTTCTCCCTTGTGACTCAGGATTAACCTCAGGCTCCTGAGCAAATGCCAAAACATCAGGCCTCCCTCCTGAAACACACCTGCAACAGGGGTTCCCTCACCCTAGTGGCCCCAGCATTTCCATCCTAAACACCTTGTCTCCTGTCCCCTTAGAGACCCTCACTGACCCCCCCCCCCATTCTTCTGGCTGCCGCCTCCTTCTCTGTTGCTTTCTACAGAAGCGTTCATCCACACAGGGCCTTCCCTAAGCACAGAGAAGCATGAAAAGTAGGTGGAGCTCATCCATGTTAACCCCTGAGAATACCAAATGACATCTTCCTTTTCTTTTAACTACAGTAATAGACAGACCTACACTCTATAAATAAATATCTGCTTAAATGTTAGCGAATGCTAATATCAGGAGAGTAATTTATAAAGAATTTTCACCCACTTTTTCTTTTGTAATCTCTAACACTGTGTTAGTTGTTAAATCTCCACCTTATTAATGAGGAAACTGAGGCCAAGCTGTGTGGGCCACTTGTTTGGGGTGGAGGCACAGAGAAGGGGACCCTGCGACACCACCCACGTGTCCTGCGGGGGCTCTGTGGGCACTCTGCCAGGCCATCCCATCTGATGCTTTAGTACAAAGTTGTCCACCTCACTGTATAAACCAGTTCACACAGAACTCTCCACTGGCTTGTAGGCTGCTTCCGGGTTGGCAGTGGCCCTGTCAAGTGTCCACTGGGGACAGGTGCGTGTTGGTTTTCCAAGTAGAAATGCCACAACTCTGCCACATCAACAATCACCCAACCCTAATTCTTATGTTAGCTCAAAACTCAGACAATCTATGATGTGTAGTCTTTAAAGAGATGTGACAGGTCAGTGATGCCCCACCTATAACTGCCAAGTAGTATGTGTAAGCTAGGCCAAGCGATGCCACTCTGTTGGCTGAGACTGAGGCTCTGAAAGAATTTATGATGTCTCAGAGCATGAAGATGACACATCAGAGCTGAGCCTGGACCCCTAACCACAGATACTTGCTGTATTTGTGATACACAGATTACTCTTTCTGTACATGCCTATCTGCATATTGTAGAGGCGCCTTCAAGCCTCCTGCCTCGCCCAGCTCACAGAACTCACGTACTTCCTGCCTTTCTCTCAGTCACTCATCTCTAAGCAACTCCCCTCTTCACAAATGAATTGAACCCAGCTTTGGCCCTGAGTAGAAGCCTTTGTTCCGGTTAGCCATTGTTCTCACTGGGTTTTCCCCACAAGGACAAATGTGCCTTAGTGTCTTTATTCTCACTGTGGATTGCATCGGAAGTGGTAGACTGGAATTGCTGATTGGAATTCCAGGAACTTTCCCCTGGGATTACAAATGTGGACTCCTCTGGACTTCCATAGGGTCCAGGAGGGCTTTCTACAATATACAACATCAAATCAATATTTGAAATAAAATAAGAAAGTTAAAATATCCGAACATATTTTCACCTTTTGAGAGAACAGGTTAGAAAACACCCCAAACTGTTGAAAGTATGCCCATGGTTTTCTAACTTAAACTCACCTTCCTTGATCCTCCCAGCTTCTATATAAGGGCTAAGAAATACTGGCTCTCCCGTATCTCCTTTAGGTGGCATGGAAATCTGGGCTCTTCGGTAGAGGGACTGGAACAGCCCATCACAGGGGCTGCCTGTCAGCAGGACCATGAAAATAATCAGCTGCCACATGGTGTCAAACATTCCTTCTGAGCCTAGGATGAAAAACAGTAGTATTCACAAATGAATCCCCAAACCAATACTTCGCTGGCCCTTCTACATGCAAGAAATTCATTTATTCTCTCAAATTTTTTTTTCATTCCCTTTTCCAAGCTCTTTGAATAGGACCACAGCCAACCCAAAGGGGAATTCTTTTAGGCATTTGCAGTATAATTAAAAAACAATTTATATATTTTTAAAATGTATCCTAGAAATTAGATTCGGAAGGAGAATATAAAACCTTAAGACAAGGAGTTTATGACTGATCATCGGATGAGTTGCAGAGACCCTTCTGCCTCTATAGGCAAAGGATTAGGATCTCACTTTAGTTTATGTCCTTACCAAGGGCAATGTGAATAAAAGGTAATGAAACTCAGTGAAGGAATTACCTGCCCCTGGGAGAACAGCTTGAGTCAAGGCAAGAGGACCTCAGTAATCCATAAGCACTCCGCAGGGCAATTTAAGATGAGCAATGGATTCTGGGTATGTCCTCCATTTCTTATGAATTACCAGGTTTTACATCCAAAAACAAAGAAAGAAGAAAAGAGAGAGGATTCTCCAATTATTTCCAGGTCCCTCTGCCATGGCTTACCTATAGGTAAACTCAAGAAATCAGGCCTCAAAATATACTGGCAACCAAGGTTTCTGAAATTCTTCCAACCTGATGTTTGCTGAGAGTATTTATCAGGACTGAGGGTCATAATGGCTTAAAATAGTGTGAACTGTCATACATAAACAGATGTCTCCTTTACAATGGGCTTTTCTTTGTATTTTTAGCTGATTTAAATCTTCTAATAAGGGGCCAGGGAGATGGCTCAGTGGAATAAGCACCTCTCTGGCAAGTGCAAGGGCCTGAGTTCAATCCCTGGTTCTGCCAAAGAAAGAAAGAAAGAAAGAAAGAAAGAAAGAAAGAAAGAAAGAAAGAAAGAATCTCCTCAGAAAAGTAAACATTTTTATCATCAACATTAGTTAAGAAAAAGGACCCAAGTGAGTTTCTCTGGCAAGGGTGTAAAAGACAAGGAAACCAAGACTTGATTTCTGTTGAGGCCCCCACTACTCGATGTGCTTTTCTTCTTGTTTGTTGTTTTTTTTTATATATCTAAATATATTTAGTACAGGGTCTACAGGGTCTCATTACACAGATCAGACTCATAGTGACGCTCCTGTTTCCAGCCTCCCAAACGCTAGGATTACAGGCGCGTGCCACCACTCCCAGTCTCAATCACCTTCTCAGCGTGCCCGGGGGGTGGGGCCAGCACTGCAAGCCTGGGATTGAATCCGGGTCCCTGTGTCTGCCTAAGCATGCACTTGACTCTGCTGAGCTATCTGGCCAGCCCCTGGATATTCTTCTTTTGTCATAGCTTCCCTCACCTCTATTGCAAGGCTTCCCCCCCACAAATACTTCATCGAAATACTATTTCTTTTGATTACTCAGGGTCTTCTTCATATTCCTCCAAATTTTCCACTTGAGGCAGATGCCTCTCTGGCTTTGCCTAATCCTAACCCTGCTGAGCACAGGAAGCTCACTCCAGTGTCATCTCATCATCTCTCACCACAGCTAGCTCTTTAAGCATGATTCAAGTTCTTGGTGTTAAATTCTAAATAAAATACATTAAACAAACACTCTATTCACTCCGATTTCTGGATGCATAAAGAAATATACAATTATACAAATTTAACACTTGCTTCTGATTGTTCAGTGCTTTAAAATGCCAAGCCATTAGAACATTTAAAAAAAATACAAAATGTGTAAAAAATCTATTAACCACATGTTTATCGCAAACCAATTTGACATAATACGAAAATATTAGTTGTAGCAAATTTAAAAAGCTTTTCAGCAGCATTTCCCCATCAAGGCAAAAATGTATACTCATAACTTGATTAAATATATGACCCTCGCATCATGTCTCCCAGAATTAACTTAATAGAATTCCTCATACTTATTATAAATAAGCCCAAAGAAATGTAATGTGGAGCTAAAAAAAATGTGTTTGCCTATTATTAACTATAATAAAAAGCATAATGGATTTATAAGCTGAAATTAAGTTCCCAAGAAGCCCAAGGGTAATGGCCACAATGGCACCGTGAAGATATTTGCAAAAATTATGTGTTGCACTCATGTTTAAATACTACAGCTACTTGCAAAGAAAGCCAGAAATCAACAATCCTACTGTCTGATTCAGAAAAATAAAATGTAATGTTAAAAAAATAATGGAACAAGCTCTTCCAGTAAGAGTGCTCCCCCTCCCCCCACCCCAGGGGGAGGGATGCAGAAACAAGAAACCAGTCTTGCCTTCTATTCTCAGTCTTCCAAAGCAAACCTCCAGCGCCCTTTAATGGAAGGCATTAATATTTAAATAACCACGGTAGTCACAGCACATCCCTTCTAAAGCAGAAGTTGACTCAAAGATGTTAAAGAATGACAGAGGTAAAGCTGTTCTTGTTTTAATTGACATAAATCTAATACATCAATGTTAGAGTTGGGTCAATTTAGTAGATCTCATTAACGTTTAATCAATTCCAGTTGGAGTCAGGGTTTCACATGTAGGTGAATTAAAGCAACAACATACTTCATTTCACAGTTCTCATTTAACAGTCAGGGGCCCTTAGCTGCTCTTAGCTGTCATCCCTCCTCATGAGATTGAAAGCTATTATGAATGGAGGAGTATTTTTAACACTCTTCTCAAATGGTTTTGCTTCCCTTAAATTAGCCTGAATCTTTTTTTACTTATTAAGTACTTACTAAGCACTTTCTGAACTAATAAGCCCTATACTACATAGAGGCTATCTCCCATAGAAAAGGAAAACAAAAAAGTCTATTAACCATACACTTTATCATATCTACTTTAATATAAAAATGCTAGTGCTATTGCCAATTTGAATACATTATACTGAAGAATTGAAGCAAAATATTTCTCTTAATATATGTTTGAAAACAGCATAAAATCTAGGTGAAATCAAATAATATTAGCAGAGCCAAATTAAAGTTCAAAACTATATAATCTGCTAAAATTGTCTAATGAAGTCTTAAATATTACAGTTAGAAACTCTGTTCAATGTACAACTTTAAAATATTAAACAGATATTTATTTCACTCTTCTTTGGAGTAATGAACAACGCTATCAACTTCCAACAGTAAGAAATCAGTTATCATACATCAAAAAAGATGAAATTACAAACAGTAAGTAAAATTACTCTACTGAAATATTTAGGTAGACAGGTGTAGAAAAGCAGAATACTGGATTGTATATGTGGTATTTTCTCCTTATTTAATATTAATTATGAATTTCTAAGTTTTCTATAATAATTTTATAATTTAAAAAATTAAGTATTATGGGGTTTTGGCTTTTTCTTAAAACATATGAAGCAATTAATAGAAAGCAAAAAATGTGCTTGTTTCTTATTCCTTCTCACTACCTGGTTATGACCTCTTCTGTTTCCTAGGAGGACGGCTCTGTTTGTGCTTCTAGAATGTGTCATTCTTTCTCTAACATTCTGTGAGGACATGTCCTGGTCTTCTAAAGCCTCAAGATCTCAGCCAGAGTACATTTTTCTTTGTAACTCAAAAGCTCTGCATCAAGGTGAGTTGGTGTTATATTAAAAGTTGTGATTACATTTGCATTTCATTTGACCCAGAGTCCATAACAAGTATGCAGACAATTGGTACTAAGCAAATATTTGTTTTATTGATGGATCTAAATACCAAGCCATGCTGTTTTAGTCCTGCATGACATATTAAATGCTCATGTGGCCCAATTTCTCCACCTGACAGATTGAAAAACTGAAGCCAGAGGAGTGATTGATTTGCTGAAGACTGTACCACTGGTGAGTGGTAGGGTCAAGGCTCACAGCCAGGATTTCTACAGCTCTAAATGTACAGTTCTAAATCTAATCTGCTGTCCATTGTCCCATCGCTGGCTATTCAGATATGGACTCACTGCCTCAATAGATAATAGCAGCCTGCAAAGACCCCCTTTCACAGATTGTTGGGCAATGCAATAAAGAAATAGAAATATAGATAAGTAAATCTTTCCAAGGAAGTTTGTACTTTAGCAACACAACTATCAGTTCTGGCTCTGCCACTGCCATCCATCAGTGGACCCTGGCAAGACCCCTTCTGGGTGTCCCTGCTGGTGCAGTCCCAGCCCAAGGGTGTTGACAGCTAAATTCCTAGGAATGCTGAGAGCCAGGTCTTCAACACAGCCATTGTTAAAAAATTAAAATCTAAAACTTTACTGTGGAATGAGTTGTATTCTGAAGCAGAGGTTTTAAAAAATACTCAAAACTCATTGCTGCTAATAATTTTAGTACAATTCACTATTACCTGAGCCTGCTGTGATGGCCTGCTTTGCATTGGTCTGATTTGCTTCTGAACTTCTTTTTCTAATACTTTTCAATAATCATGTTCCTAGCTTGACATTAGCCATGGTAATAATATTTATATCACGGGAACCATCACATGTCACAGATCAGCTCCTTTTCTCCCAGAAGGCCATTTGTTCAGCACTAATCTGCAGGCACTGGCCTCCTTTTCTCTATATATGAAATGGACCGGACACCACCACCTATCAGCTCACATTCCAATCCCAACTGCCATGGCCAGCAGGAGGGACAGGAAGGGAAGCTCCTGTCCAAGCGTTGGCGGCGCATTGTGCCAAACATGACATACCAGGAACAGACACAGAAAGATCCAGGATGGCACATGTTTTACCAATGGAAAAAAGATCAGAAACTCTTAAAGGAGGAAAAGAACTGAAAGCAAACATTTAAACGAGTTTCCAAAAATAAATAAATAAATAAATAAATAAACAAGTTTCCTGTTCTCCCATTCGCTACTCCATTTCTCTATTTTTGACTGTAGCTTACTCCAGCCGAAGGAATAGTAACACTTCGTATAATAAATATCAGAGTTGTATGTAAAATAGTTATTTGGAGATCCCTTCTGTAATCTCAGCACAGTAGTAATATTTAAAAAATATAAATACACCAACAAACA